AATTTTTTTTAATAATAACAAGCAATTCAAGATCATAAATATTTACTATTTAATTTCATTGACTCGCGTTGAATTAGATGAGCATAAAGAGCATTTATTAATCTAAATATTTAATAAAGTGATTCAAGTTCATGGATGTTGATTTAATATTACATATATTAAATTAGGTTAATCTAAGTATTCAAATAATCAATTCGAGTTCATTTTAATCGTTTTAATTTAGGTGAATATAAAGTGCTTTTATTAGTCTAAGTATATAAAAACGATTCATGTTCATGAATATTTACTCTTTTTTTATTTACTCACGCTAAATTAGGTTTAAATAATCGATTCAGATTCATGACTATTAACTATTTAACTGAGCTTTATTCGCGTTAATATAGGAATTAAACATACCATATTTTCGCGTAATAACGCCCACCTGCGCGTTATTTTGAGTATATGCGCATCATTTAGAGTACGCGCATGAGCGTTATTTTGAAACATGGGCTGATTTTCTGGTAACTTGTAGATGTTGTACCTTCCTCAAGTGTGTAACCTGCTGATCTGTTGATATTAATCAGTACTTTTTTGAGAACGTAAAACTACACAAGTAAAAATCCACCGCAATACCGTACATAAGGGATTAATTTATTATCACAAATCAGCAGAGATGGAGCACGCTGGTGCGATATATAATGTTGGATGTTGTTATGAAATGGAACTGGAGTTGAAAAGGATGATCAAAAAGGCATTTGAATATTATTTGAAAAGTGCCGAATATGGACATTGTTGTGGAATATATGGTGTTGGTTCATGTTATCAGAACTGTATAAGTAATGATAATAACTATTTCAGTTGGATAGAATACGATAATTTTAGAAACATTGAAGAAGTATGCAAAGGAGGGTTTTCCGTAGTGTGTAAAACGGTTCTACCACAAGATCCCGACATCCAAAATCTTGAAACCATAATCCCGGCGTGACAATTAACATTTAAAGATTAGTAATCACATTAACAATCATTGTCAGACTTTAAATTTTAATTGTCACGTCGCGCGATGTCAGTATTATGGCTTGTCGAGATTTTGGATGTCAGGATTTTGTGGTAGAACCCTTTTTGATAAATTGTTACACGGATTTTTGCTATTATAAGTGGTGTGAAAAATAACAAAAAAGAAACGCTCAGTAAAAAACCTTTTAGTTACAATATGAGATAAATAAGAAGTAAAAATAAATAAAACGGCTACGTTAAGTTATAAGAGAAAGTCCTTACTATCACAGTTCGTTGAAACGTTCGGGTAATGAAAGATCGGTTTAGTCCTTGAACGATTGGTTGAATAGTGGGGAAAGATGAATACGAAAGTAAATTTTCCGTTTTAACCTACTTTTCACTTATAATTAAACATGATATTCTACATACTTAATTATGGATTCAAAATACGGTTAAAAATTTTTTTTGATAATCCTCGATCCTGATTGGCTGATTTTTGAGGTGAAATCGCGTTTTGAGAAAGTACTGTAACGTGCTGACTAGTGTATCCGGAAAACGTTCGGATGGAATAGAAATATGTGTAACAGAATTTACTGAAGTTACATCTGAACATGAAGATGATTCTAATAATCAATTTAAAATTCCACGAATTCAATCAGACCTGAAACTTAAGAGTAGGCAAGATGAAAAAACAATCATGAATCCAAATTTAGAAATAACGTCAAATAATATAACGGTACCTGTTCTTGTTATATCTAAAGCTGATGATGGATTGGAATCGGGAGAGAAAACAAGTGCAAGTGATGATCTTAGTGACTACTTTGTTGATGCCGAGGAATGGAGTCGTAATTTTATTTAGTTTTGTAGTCACGTTGTTAGTTCTTGTTAGTTCGTGATTTAGAACTTTTAAATATGAATATATATATATATATAGTCTTTTAATTACTAAATTGTTAAATATATATTAGTATTAAACATTAAAAAAAAAAAAATTGAAAAGTTGAAAAGTTTGTTTTTTATTTCTTAAATATTATTTTACACTTGGTGCTTATGAGTTAGAATGTATGTCATAAATTGATTCAAACTTGTGTTAACTCATAACGATAATGTCTAGTGATGTATCTCGCAAAAAATCTTTACGCAAATTATATCACGCGCGAAGCGCACGTAAAGAAATCTTAGCTGGTAGTGATTTATCGAATATAAAAAAAAAAGATTGAAATTATCACCAAAACCTATAATTCGCTGAACTCAAAATTTGGCCTTGGATGAGGACTTTGCGCGAAGTCATATGATTCGTGAAATATAATGTATTCTAGTTTTACTTTTCACGAGGTACTAATCATTTGATTGTATGTTGCTTTCACAGGTAGAACTATAAAAATTTTCTAAATCTATTATGATAGAAAACCTTTATTAGATATCGCCTTTTCTTGCAG